CCTCTGGGTTCTATCCTCAGGAAACATGGGATTTCTTTTCATTGTTATGCTAACGATTGCCAGATTTATTTGCCCCTGAAGCAGATGTTCCATTCCATCAAACATCTCCTGGCATGTCTAGGTGATATTAAAGCTTGGTTGGCCTTGAACTTTTTCAATTTTAATGAAAAGAAAACAGAGGTGATGGTGTTTGGACCCAGTGGCTCCTGTGAGTCCTCCTATGTTGACCTGGGACCCTTGGAGGTTCAGTCCCTTTTCAGCTCGATGACGAGAGTTTTTAATGAAAATAAAACAAGAATGACTGTCTGCCATTTTTTTTATAAACATATAAACTGGTTTTCCGAGAAAAAATTAATTTCAAAAGCTGAAATTGGTGTTTTAGCGGGGATTTTTTATTCATTTTGTAAAAACTTATAACACTGATAATGTTATTCGTATAAAAAAATGGTATTTTGATATATTTATGGTTGTTTTCAATAGAACTTCTTTTTAGTATTTTCTGGACCGAGGAGGAGGGAACAAAGAAAAGGCTTTGACTGGGTGATTGTCGGGGTTTTCTTTCTTTCTTTCTTTATATTTTGGCGTGAGATGTCTCACTTTTCAAATTATCTTTGAAGATGTGATTCTTCAAAGTTACTTATTAAATAGTTACACAAATAATTATATAATTTAAATGCAAAAGTGGCTTTGCATTGTGATTCAAAAATAGATATTTAATATCTGAATAAATCTATGGCATTGTTTTAGAATTTCACATGACGAGAAAGCATGTCTCATAAATCCATCCCTCCATCCATCGTCTACCTGCTTATTGCAGGTTAGCGGGCGGGGGGCTGGTGAGCAGCAATCATTGGGCGAAAGGCAGGGTACACCCTGGAAAGGTTCACAGGCCGTCACAGCACTACCAGTCCACCAGAAATACACAAATTAAATCATAAAAGTGACTTTATTACTTTATTTATTGTAAAGGTGCGTTCAAATGTGATATGGCAAATCAAAAATGTATTTACTTTTTGTATTTTTATCACCACAAATACTGAAAATTCAAAACACTTAGACAAATGTGTCACTTCAACTTTATGATTAAAAAAATGTTAGTCTATTGGTGCTTGGTTTAAACACAGTTTGTGGACATCAATACTTTTGCTGTTATGGTGGACAAGCCTTTGTCTTTATTCTAGGAGAAAATAAAGTTTTTACTTGTTCTTTTAATTGGGAGCATTGCTTTGATTAAATTAGTTCCAAATAATAGCTGTGGATTTCGTTTTCAGGCTCTCTCCTGCTGCTGGTGAACAGCTATGCCAGCACTCCTGAAAAAGACTTCATCCCCCACACTGCGCTGGGGATCTTACTCCTCATCATTGCTGCCCTGATAGCTTACACAGGTTTGTTTCACCTCATAGATTTGAATTCCCTGCTTTTTTCCCAGCCTCCTGACTCTGTCCTGTATCTTTCTAGGTGTCCGTCACAGTCTGTCCCACTCCCGGCTGTTTTCCACTCTGTGTCTGACCATCTCTGCGCTGTGGTGTGGGTTGGGTCTGGTCTACATCCTGATAGGACAGAGAGTGGTACCATTCACAGAGCTAAAATCCTCTTTGATTCCTGGGCTGGCAGCATTTACCTTAGCCCTGTTCATCATTGGCACTGCAGCCCTCTTTGTGAAGACACCAGTTCTCCTGGTTATAGCTATCAGCATTTCTTTAGCCTGTGCTCATCAAATCGCTGCTCTGTCAGATTCAGACTTCGGTCAGTCTGCCACAGCTGCAAACTACCTCCTTGTTTGTCTTGTGTGTGCCTATTTTGGCTTTGGGCGTTTGCTGTACACCATCACACAGGGTAAAGTGAAACCCCCAGGAACAATTATGAAATCTGAATTGAAGACGGAGCAAAACCAGAGCTGCAGTGATGTAATGAGTGTAGGTTTGGTGATGAACTTGTTATCTGCCTCTGTATTAGCCTGTCCCCTGGTAGGCGTGGTCCCCCAACTCTCTGTTGGCCATGTCCCCTGGCTCTGGACAGCTGGAGTCTTCCAGCTTGGCATGTGTGTCCTCTGTTACCGAGCAATGGACACATTAGCTGCAACTTTCTATGGTTTTACATCTCTGCTAAAATTTGCTGAGGGTTACAGCGCTCTGTTATCTTTGTACTCCATTCAGCCGTTCTCCCCGGTTCCCTTCCCTGTTGTCTTTGCGGTTCTTTTCTCTGTCCTGGCGCTGTTCAGCTGTCAGAAGAGCTTGTTGGATGGCCTCTACCAGTTATTCTTTGTAGCCTATTGTATTTCCATCGCAGCCCAACCTCAAGGCTTCTTCCAAGGTGGCACTCAGGGTGTACAAGGAGCTATCTTTGTAGCTTCTGCTGGAGTGCTCTTTGTTACAACATTCAACATGGTCTCCAGTACCAAAATTCCTACTGGGCAGGGACACTTCCAAGCTTTAGTAACCAGAATTAGCAGTCTTACTCTCAGGGCTCTGGATAAAGACCGGCATACACCTCACCTCGGATACTCCAAATAAGCAGATGCAGAAGAGTTGGGCCACGCCTGCAATGTTCTGGCAGCTTTTGCCATCACAGCCACGATTGGGGACAGGAATCCTCTGACTGTGCTGGTTTTGCCCTGGGCAGTGATGGCTGGTGGAGTGTTGCAGCTCCTGTGCGGTTCGGTGGCGTTTGCTCGGGGTAAAACTCTTGAGAGCACCGCCTTTATTCTCTACGGGTTGATGTGGACGGTGTGGGGGTTGACACGATTTGGTGGTCTTTACAGTGAGACCAGAGGCTTCAATGTCGCTGTTGGGATTATTAGCTTTATGATGTTTAACCTCCTGTTGACAATTGCAGCAATATTTCTTAATGTTGCCTGGTTTGTCTATGCATTCACCTTCCAGCTCATCCTCATCAGCTTCCTGCTGGATGCAATTGGTGCACTGCCCTATGGTTATGATATTGGCGTCACAATCATCTTTGGTCTTGTTAGTTTTTATTGTTTCTTGGCGCACATTTTCAACAACACCTTCCAGTCTCCTCAAATCCCCTTAGGAAGACCTTTAGTCAATCTGGGTGGGGTCGGAGGAGGGGAAGGGGTCTGTCCGCATGTACCAGCTCGCAAAGCAACATCAGTTCAGCAGATTGCAGGTGAGAAGATCATGTCGATAGTTTTTAGTGTGATCTGTTTACATGCATGACCTGATGTCCATATTTGTTTTCTGCTCTGTATTTCTATGATGTAGAAATCATGAAAAATGGAGGCATATGTGGAATGCCAACTGACACTGTCTATGTGCTGGTGGCTGCCTGCAACAGACCAGATGCAGTAATCAAAGCTTACAAGTAGGCTTCATTGTTGTAAAAACCTTCTCTTAGCAACTTTTTTATTTGTTTTTCTGTCACTGATCATTACTGTTTGGCTTCAGGGTTAAGAAGCAGGCTGAGGACCGACCCATGTCCATGTGGATCTCTTCTGTCAAGCAGCTGGAGCCTGTTAGACACCTGCTGAGTCCCCTGCTCCTGGACTTCATGGAGGCTGCATGGCCTTCCTCTATCAGCATGGTCATCCCCAGAGGTGAGTGATTTCTTATTTTCATGGGAAAACTGTGTGAAAACTGAGTTTATGATGTGCTCATGTGAATAGCTAATGGGTAATGTTGGCTGACTTTGATAGGACCGTGGTTGGACATATTTGGTTTGGGAGACGCTGCCAAACACATCGGGACTCCACAAAGCATTGCCATCAGAAGCCCAGACTGTGCAGTAGCTACACATCTTATTAATTTGGTAATTTCCATTTTACTGTGATTAAAAAATAATGTTACATACTCCTCATTGATTGATCATGTTCTATTTCTAAAAGGTGGGTCCAATTGCAGTAACCTCAGCCAACCCAACAGGCGAGGCAGATACAACTCACCATAACCAAGTTTATGCTAAACTGGGAAAAAAGGTAATAACCATGATACAATATTAACAAGTTCAGCTGAAATAAATAAAAATGTTGTTCATATAGTGAATATGATTTTTTTTTGTAAGGTTGAAGGGGTGTTGTGTGATGGACCCTCCCCTGAGAATATTGCATCTACTGTGGTTGACTGCACCAAGATTGAAACTGGACAAATTGGTTTCTTCAGAGTGGGCCTCATTCCAAAATCCAAGGTAAAACAAGCAAGGCCAAGTTTTGCCCATTTGTCTACAAAAGCTTTTGACTATTTGAACTTTGTTTTTGTTGTTTTTAGGTCTTCCAGATTTTTGAGGAAGTTAAGAACCGGCATAGTCAAGGGCAAATAAATCCTGCTTTTGAACATGATTTGGCTCCTCCAGACACCCAAACTGAGGAGAGTTTGGGACAGGATGAAACATCAGAATCCGGAAGAGAAACTGAAAACTCAACACTCTCCACAACACATGA